TTGCCTTCAAGTAGTGGTTTATTATTTTTGTACCAAGTGAACTTAAAGTAAATATTTAGTTTTTATTGATATCAGTCAAAGGAGAACTTGAAGGAAAAAATATGTACGAATACTGACGGCGGAGAAAGATTTTGAAAAGTTATTTTGTTGATATCGTAATTAAAGTGTATATGTACAATAATTGGTACCTAACTAATTGGTATTTTGTTCGATTTTCGTAGAAGATACAAATACAAAATTTGAAGGTTAAAACGTTTCCGTATGAGAGTTCAACTTGAGAAACGCTGTCGTCGTTTAGTGAGGAAATTATGTAAAAAGACACGTGTTTTGGTTTTTGTCTCATAGGTAGTGTTTCACAGAGAATTTTTAGAATATGAATTTTGTTTATTGATGATTTGGTTTTCTTGTTTTGCGCTTCCTCTGTATTTATACACATGGTAGTATACATTTAGCCTTTTTCACTTAGATGTATCAAACATGTTTCGATTTTACGTTTGATATATATCATGTAAGTTTGATTTTTTCGCTTTAAAGGCATTTTCTACTTATTGTTGATGTCTTTTATTTATGAAATTTTTCTCAGCGATTGACCATGATTATCCAGGGAATAGTTCTGTACCAAGAGGTGATTCACTGTTTTATATGTAGCGTGTGATTTTTTATAAATAAGATAAGCGTGGCATCAGCACATTCATCTCGTATTATTCATATTGAAGTGATCAACTGATCAGTATTTATTGACTTCGAACTCTTGCTTCTACCATTGATCTGAGTCTTCATGTTTCACAAAGAATTTTCATATGTAACACAACTGAGATTTGATCAGTAGAAGGATGTTTTCGATGTTACTTATTGACTATTAGTAAGATAATTTGCATGTTTTCAAAACAGGAAAAAGCAGACTACAAATGCTCTTATCGGTGAACAAATTGTAGTCTATGATCAAAGGCATCAATATTAGTCGATAACTAGACTTCACGAAACGATCAGAGGAAACAACAAAATTAGAAACATAAATATTCTTTACGAGCGACAACAACGCTTTCAAACAAAGAACAATCAATTATATCAACCTACTCTTATCTGGCAGCATTTCGCCAGTCAAAAATTCTTCCTGAATCTTTCTAAATCTTTTTTCAATAAAGTGAACTAAGTTGCACCCCGAATCATTCAAGAAAAATGAAGAACAATCCTTACTGTAGCCATTGGGACCCCAGCATCAATTGTTGTTGTCAGTATTACAGGCATGAGTTCTTCCAGTTCACAGTTACTTAATGGTACAATAACACGTGGTGCTCGTTTTGGTTCTTGTAATTCTCTTTCTGGTCTTTCGACTGGTTCAACATGATCCAATTTACGGAATTTTTCTGGTGGAACAAATGGTTGAACATCAACACCAGGTACTATCTCTAATGGTCGTGGTCCTTTTCCTTCAGGAGCTTCCAAACTACGGAATTTATCTTGTGGTACAAAAGGTCGATCATCAACACCTGGTTTATCTGGTACAACATTTAGTGAAGCTACAGTCGAATCTTCACCAGCTGGATTTGTTGCAATGACACGATATTCACCGACATCTTGTG